CTAACCTTGGCCTCTCAAACCTTTTATTCTTTCATCTTTCAGTGCCAAGTCCAAATGAAACTTTAGTTGTTGAAAAAGATACAGATGTATGCCTGTTTTTTTTTGTTTTGTTTTGTTTTGTTTTTTACCAGAGCATATATTAAAACTCTAATTCTCCTGACAAGAATATGTAGGCACTTTCAGCGCAGCAAACACTCACACATGCATTTACATTTTAGATATTTAAAAAAAGGCAAAGTATTGCACTGAATAATTAAAATTGCCTCGAATCCATGACAATATTTTACTAAATAATATATTTGATTTAATATGCATAGAAACCTTTTAAAACACTCCATTTAAATCACTGTGCTGCAGTGTATTTCCATTGCTTTGAAGTCGATCAGAACCGAGGTGCAGAGGCTAGGAACTGGGAGGAATCTTCCTAACCCACTTTGAGCTCCTCAGATGAAAGGTGCTATTTAAGTACAAAGTAGCATCAGAAATTCAACTTATTTAACAGCTTCATTCACTTTGGTGCCATAGCTAACTCAGCCTCACCTACTTGGTACTTTACATTAAATTTCTCCAATAGGGTGTGTATAACTGTGTCATAAAACTAGTTCAGGAAACATATAATCCAAAGAGACAGATTCCATAAACATCCCATGCTGTATCTCTACATAGCAGAAAATCTCTCCATTAAGGAGTAGAAAACAACGCGAACAAATGATATTCGTCCCTAAAGAAACTGAAAGGGTCACTCTCCCCGATAGTGGGCAGCGACCTGGATGTTTTTCTTTCTTAATATTGTACAAAGTCCCTGGTTGTGCCACTTGGCTGGGGAGGCGCAGATACTGTGATATGTTTTCTCTATAGTTTATATTTTCAACTGGCAAAGAAAATTGAGGTATGGTGGCAGTTGGCTAGAGGGGAAACTGATTTTCTACTCAAAAGTTGTTCTCTGAGTATTAAAAAAAATTGTGGAATATGGGGAAATGGTATTCTCTGTTCTAAAAATTCCTTTAAAAATCGTCTATTCTAGTATTGTTTCTTTATAGATATTTCAGCCTAAGTAATGTTACTTATACAATACCAAAAACATGGTATCGTTTTTCAGAAATTAAGGCACTGCTGATGATGCTGATAAATGTTCAGTATTCCTCCATCTTGGTCCCTTCAAATCCTCATTCCCTCATCAATCCTGCCTAAGGTAATCACTGTTATCAATTTGACGACTGTTACTCTAGTACCGTTAAAAGACTTTCATCACAAATATTTCCTCATCATTCCTTTCTTATATAATAAATTTGGTTTAAATCTTTTTTAAGAAAAAAAAAATGTCCTCAGATGAAAAAAACAATATCATTCTACTACTGTGAGCCCTTTTAGACATTTTCTTATTGAATTATCTGTGAGCTATCAAATTTCCCATTGTGTACTTGTCACATTGTCAGTGACCCTGAACTCACGGCTCTTCTCAGGAGAGGGAGCGTGTAGTGTTGCGTAGACATCACAACACGGTTCTGTTCCCAGGGAAGAAGAGAGGTCCCCCCCCCAGGGCTCTGGGCCCCCCCCCGCCCCGCGCCCCGCCCGGTCCTTCAGCGCTTCAGACCCCAGGGTTGACCAGCTGGCTCCTGCCTCTTGCTCAGCCTCCCTCTGCTTCTGTCATCTCAGTGACTCATCGCTGCCCTGTGGGTCTGGGTAATAACACAGTCTCCAAAAATCACCCCAATTCCTGAGCTCAGCGAGGCATCGTCAGAATGAGTCAGGAGACGCAGGAAAAGCCCCGTGTCTCCGCGACACCGTTTCTGGCTTCGCCCCCTCCCTCCAGGTCCAGCTGGCGCTGGACCCCACTGGCCAGCAGCTGGCAAGCAGAGCTGCTCCCAACCCCGGAGCCAGGGAGGGACAGGAATTTCTTTTTAAGTTGAGTAGGAAAGAAAGTCAAAGAGACATTCTCCGACTTCATTAAGATATTAAGAATCAGAAACATGTTTTACGATAAGAGGTGGCACAAATCAGCGTCCTAGTCAGGGAAGGAAGAAGCGGAAACCTGGGCAGGGGGTCTGACCATGCAGTGTGAGGCCCAGAGCAGCACTGGGCAAAGTGGCCCACGTCCCTGGGGGCGAACCCGGCACTGTGGCTGGGCGCTGCCTCCTCAGCGCGTCACCTGAGCTTCCGTAATTGCATTCCACACGCCAGCAGCCTTCTGACTACAATCCGCACACCCATGTGCATTTGTTCATAAGAAAAACTGAGCTACGTGATTCTAAGAATTCTTATTGAAATGTGTGCACGTCTCTGTATGTGCAGATATGTATATGTATAAGCATGTACACGCATGTATAAGTATGTGCATGCCTGGGTGTGTGTACAGTCCGTCTTCCTAGCTTGGTCAATGTGAATCACTCCTATGGGCAGGTGCATTTTCTGAGGCTGGAAGATGAAGATCCAGGTTGCAGACTGTGGTAAATTCACAAAGATAATAAAGACCCCCTGGCCTTCCCGCGGCGGGGTCTGCTCTGACACGCTTTATGACTGCCATCAGGAATGACTGTAGCCCCCACGCAGAGGCCTAGACTCACTTAGACAAACCTAGCGAGGAAAAGCGATACCGTGGACATCCTGGTTTGGCCTGTCAGGGCAACTGAAGAAGTTGGACACTTGCCCCTTACTAGTCTGTGCGCCCAGCCTCCTTTGCTTTTAAAGAACAGGCGGCCAAAGGAATGAAACTAATAGCTCCCCATAATTAAGATCTTACAGGAAGTGAATAAATCCATCAATATGCGTTGGTTGACAACCAATGCACCTTCATGAGGTGGTCAGTATTATCCCAATTTTACAAATAAAAATTTTACACATAAAATATCGGGGCATAGAATGTTAAGGAGAATGTGCAACATTTATACTGAGCAAGAAACAAGAAAGCCGGGACGGGCAGCCGCATCCGGGTCCAAGCCTCCCAGCCAGGCCGGGCCCCTCGGCGGCCTGGTGACTCCAGCAACGCCCGCCCGGTAAGTTACTCCAGGAAGTTAGCTTGCGGGTGTCTTGCCTGGTGAGTTTCTCCAAGTCCCTGCCTGAAGCCTACGACCACGGGAAAAGTAAGCCACGTTGAACTGGCCCTGCCTGACTCCCTGTCCCCTAAATGCTCTCTCCCAGGCACCACCCACCCCTGCCCCTTCCTGATTCATCGTCTACTTGGCTTCGTCAGCCCTGCCGTTTGCTGGAACTCGGGGCAGAGGGCTGGGCTCTCAGGCAGCGGCCTGGGGCCCCAGAGCATCCGCTTCCTGCCGTGGAGGTTTACAAGCCTCCTCCTGCCGGTCCCTCTCTCCGTCCTGTGCCCAGAGGCCGCGCCCCTCTATGTCAATGTCCCGCTCATCCTTAGTCTCACGGGGTCATCTCCTCCTGTTTCCTCCCGGTTCAGTTGTGCCTGGGAAGGAAAACCTCCTCCAGATGAAGCGAGGTGCTTCTGAAGGGAGGAGGGCGGGAGAGCAAGGGTCCAGCCAGAGCCCATGTGGCCGTTCCCAGCCAGGGGCGTGGGCCCTGCCTCTTCGGTGGCCTCAGGGGAGCCAGGAAACGGGGCCGCCCTGCCTATGCTGATCAACTGGGCTGGTTGGCTCTCCCTTCTGTAATGAGACCACGATTTTAAATCCTAGACATTGTTCCCATCTCCACCGACTCCAGGATGAAAATATAACTTCTGAAAGCCCAGACCACACCATACGCTGCTATCTTTAGGCCCTGGTTCTACGCAAAGTTATCGGTTAAGAAAATAGACATATTTCTGCTTATAGCTCTGGCACTAATAAAGCCACCTGAGTCTCTGCACCTTTTTGGAAAGCATCAAATGAGTTTGAGCACCATAGGTAAAATACCCATGATTTCTGTCAACTACGCAATATTAGCAAAGCATGATTAAAGCCACAATCTCCTGGTGATATTATGAAAATATTCCTAATGTTTCAGGTGAATATACATGGCACAGTTAACATCTGACTTATTCAACATAAAGCATACTATCACAGTGAACGTCATCATTAATTTTATACTATTTATACAATTTTAGTGCTTGAACTGAGAGTCCTATCCCTTCTCTGATGTTACCTATGTAACATAGAATAGAAACTTCAACAAATTTTACATACATTCTAATTTCATCTATTGCCTGTTCTAACCTAAGTAAAACAATATGTACAAACTGAAAAAATATGCGACTGTATATAAATAATGTGCTTTATGTAATTTGATGTATTTTTCCATTAAAAAAAAGGTCTGCTCTTCCTTACATCTCAAATTGCTTTAGCCTGACAGTCTTGCAGTTTAAAACTGCGATAACCAATTTTTCTTTTGTTAAATGATAACTCATCATAAAGTGAGTCAGTCAACATCACAAACCCTCTTCAATATCAGCAGGTTAAAAGGAGAACTGACAGAGAAGGCGCAATTATATAATTACAGATAATGACTGCAAGGCCTCGCCAATGAGTGTTTGACTGCTCTGGTCTCAGTTTTCCTTTCATCCCAACTCTCAGCGATTTGCATTTCTATGAAGAGATTAGACTGCCTTATACTAAGATCCATTTGCTTTCAAAATTATGATTTTCAGAACAAACGAATTTTTCATTCAAAGGCCCCAAAGATCATTTTGATGGATACATTTTACAATGCTACAATTGCCTTTTCCAGTTTATTGGGATTTAATGTGTAATTAGTTTCTTTATTGCAGACTGTTTCCAAAATGACACATTTCAGCGTAATGGACGTCCACGTAATTAACTGTCTTTCCCTTGGCTAGCTGGACCCCGAGTCGCTGCGCTCAATCTCTCCTGTAGCCTTAACAGAAATGTATTTCCCTTTCAGAATTTGTGAAATGAAAGAAAGAGAGCATGACAGGTTTGCTTTTAGATAGAGCTGGAAAATTCTTTGAAAAATTATGTAATTGTCTTACAAAAGTTCTTAAGCTAGGAAGATATTAAACCAAGAAAGAACAAGATAAAAGGAAAAAACAAGATCTTACTTACCAGGTGTGAAATTGTATCGAGCTGAAAATCCCATAGATTCCAGCTCTCCGTCGGCAAAAAATTTAATCCATAGAAATCTTCCACTGGATTTTATTGTAGGTGGATTCTGTTGTCCACAAAAACGTCCAATTATTGGAGAAAACCCAAAAGGTCCATCTCGAACTTCAATATGATCAAATTTACACTCCCAAGACGGTTCAATAGAATACTTTTCATCAAAGTGAAGTTCAATGCACTGTCTCGGGGCCGCTGAAAAATAGAAAAATTGTGTCTAGGAGGCCCTTCTGAAATCTTTAATTTAATTTTTCTGATTCTACTGTGAATTTTGCCTGCTCATCTATCAAACATTGAGCATGAGGTATGTGGATACACAAAGCCAGCACGCTGTACTTAGCTTTCTGAGGGTTAATACTTCATGAAGGTGTCTAAGGGATGGTCCTCAGACATTGCACAAGATGCTCTTCTGATGTACAGTGACCATTTCAATGTCTAACCGAGGACTAAAAAAATCACAGTATTTCCATGAAAGCCTGCTTACTCAGGTTTAGAAAGTAGGGAGGCATCTTTCTGTTGTGTTTTGCACAATTCCTGGACTACCCAGGTTTTTAAGGTCGGATACCAGTTGAGAATGGAATGGTGCAGCAGAAGCTGTGCAACTATTTGAATACTAATCCCAATCAGATGCACTGATAAGATCAAAGGGCACCAGACAAGGCAATTAAGAGCAATTTTTCTTTGAACACAAGTCTTATCACGTCACTCTCAGAGGTAAACGTCCTGAGCATCCCCCTTAACGGTTCCAGGAAACGGATCCAAGCCCTTGACATATCGAGTCCTTAAGGGCAGCCTCCGGCCCACATTTCGGGGCCCCCCGCCCCCTGCCTGCAGCCCAAGCTCAAGTCGCTGCAGAGAAAGTACCTCTCCTGGGTTAACATGTTCTCTCAGGCTTTCATGTGCTTTCCCACTTCCCTGAGCATCTAAGTCCCTGCAATTTTGTTAACTCCTGTTTGTACAGGCAAATCGCGCTGAAGAGAGACCCCTCTAGGTCTACTCACTAAAGACGCGGCCGTACCTACCCCTCTTTCCCCAGCACTCAGCACAGCGCTTGTTAGTGAGGGTCTGTCAACACAGTCTTTGTTGGGTGAATTGTGCATGAGCTTGTCATCTTCATAAATGTCTTTACAGCTCTCTGAGGCATCCCAGACGAGCCTTCCAGGGCAGCTCTAGAAAGCTCTGCGTGGGTCTATTTGCTAGTGCCCTTTTATTCTTCCCTTGTGACATCTACACAGTTCAAAATTCAAGCATTCGGGACAGATACTCAGCCAGGATACCCCAGAATAGACAGAACAGTTGTTGAAATCACCACACACATTTTTCTTAGTGTGAAAACAGCTGTTGACTTGAGTCCTCTGAGAGCTTCTCAGCCGCCTGGCTCTCTCAGGGACCGGCCCCCTCAGACACTGGAAAGGGAAGTCCTGGCACAGCCTGGCCTGCCCCCCCGCCCCGTGCGGTCAGTACTCATTCTGCTCGGCCACTGTTCACACCACACGGCTCCTTAACTCTGTATGGAATATCACCCTTGATGGCTTTAAAACTAAAGCTTTGCATGCATGGATGTCAAAAATTTACGTAGAATTGAGGTAGACGATGACTTGCAAATTAGAGACTTACAAAATAAGAATGTAATCCTGATACTTTCCAAAGATAAAACTGAGGCTCGATGGGTTAAAGGTCAATGCATGTTAAAAGACTATTTTATGGATGATTTTTAATCTCTGAAAGTGTTTCTGACTCTTTGGACATTGAAAAGAGACATTTGTTACCCTTACAAGTTAAATCCGGAAGGGTTCTATCTACCACTAACATGTCTCACGAAGGTCAAGATCGTAACTTCGTATTGGAGGAAGTATCAATGTTTTTTTTTTTAATCTGCAAATTAGTAAATATCCTAAGAAATAATCTGGAAAATCCTGTTTCCCCCCACCCCACCCTAGAGTCTAATAGCAAAAAGACAAACGCTTAAGAAACTGGATCTATTTAGGTATTAGCGTCAAAGGACTATTTGCATGTATTATTATCCTATAGAATGTGCCTGATTTTATCTCCTCTTTGATAAGCCACCATAAGTTTTATGAGGAAGCAACCTGTCAAAATATTGGATATTTTTTACAAGAGAGTATGTTTAGGGAAAGGTAAAGCTAATTTAGCTAAAACTCTATCCATCAACACACATCCGTCTATTTCCCTATTAGGAAATACATGGCCACCTAACACACGAATTCATGTATTTGCCTTCATTCTCGAGGTCGCTTAAGCTCTGTCCAACCCGGACACACCCGTCTGTTGTTGTTCCTTCAGGACACGCGTCGTCATTATGGCTCTGGGTAGCCCACATTGCATGCGGACAGTTCATTTTCCGTCGGTCCAGGACGCTGAGGTTAATTGCACACACATCCCTCTGTAACTTCACTAACCGAGCTTCAGAAAGTAGCAAGTAAGGGTGTCATGGAGTTGCAGATGGAAAAGCGATGACGGTGCATGCGCCCCCTAGATCCAGTTCCCGAAACTTCCGTCCTCGTCCCCTTCGAATGCGCCTCATCACAGATGCCTCACACTGGAACGCTTTCTATGTGCCATCTTTGATCTAAAACAGCTTCCTTTACAAGAGGTCTGGACCTCCTGGAGAACCTTTAGACAATTTGAGAACTATGGGCGGTTTCACCTAGATATGGCACATTTATATGGCTACGGCTTCCTCCTGGAGGGAGTTTCAGGACATCCAGGTCCATAAAAGGGGGCCCTTTCTTTCACGATTGAAACTCCACCTCTACCAAAGGCAACTTATCTTCTTACCTGAAGAAACCTGACCAAATCTTTATCCTTCTTTGTCACGTATTTTTTTTTTAAAAAGATTTTATGTATTTATTTTTAGAGAGAGGGGAGGAGAAGGAGTAAGAGGGAGCGAAACATCCATGTGTGGTTGCCTCTTGTGCACCCCCTACTGGGGACCCGGCTTACTACCCAGGCATGTGCCCTGACTGGGAACGGAACCCACGACCTCTCAGTCAGCAGGCCGGCTCTCAGTCCACTGAGCCACACGAGCCAGGGCTGTCTTGTCCTTTCAATCCACCTTTCTCTACAGAACAGGCAATCCTTTACAGAATTAAATATGACAGTTTGATCCATTAAAAGAAGAGAAGACAAAGAAAACAGCGACTGCTTTTCCATAGTGGGTCCATCGATAGCCCCAAGTGCTCCACCTTCGGCTGGAGAGCGAGCTGCACCCCCACAACCCAACGAGAATGCACACCTGGAAAATGGTTATTCTGAGCTGTAGCAAGTGCTTCTTTGGCGCTTCCCTGCTTCTTGAAACTGTCCACTCCGGCTGCTTGCGACCTTCCGGCTGACTCTCCAGTCCACCTCTCTGGCTTTTCCTTCTCTCTACTCTGCCCCTCCCTTACGCATTGTTTTCCAGAAATTCCACATCTTCTTTCCTCCCTCCAGAGACCGGTGCCCTGGGCACCATCATCCCGACGGGGAGCTATTGGCACCAACGAAGTCTGTGGCTCTAAGACCAGCCAAGTCAAAAGTCTCGGGGATGGTGGGCCTGCATGTCTCTAGTTTTTGAAAGACTTGGAAAATGGTGCTCCAAATACTCTCTCTGGATAATTTTATTCATGCTAATATCCCCAACAACCATCTCTATATTTACAACTTATAAATATATATTTTCAGCCCAGAACCCCACTGGGTTAAAGAGCCATCTATCCAATCCCTTCACAAGATGTCTCCATAAACACCAAAACTGAACACATTGTTTTTCCTTTTAACCCTCCACCTATGTTCCTCGTCTGGCACAACAGTTCTGTCTAACAAGTCACCAAGCCAAACACTTGAGAACAGTCCCGGGGCCCCCCGGTCTCTCATTCCCACACCCAGCCACTCACGGTCCCCCTCCCTAAACACTGCTCGTTTCTTCCTCTGACCCATCACCGTTGTTTCTTCTGCGGCCCAAGTTTTTACTATAAGTCATACTGGGTTGGCCAAAAAGTCCGTTTAGTTTTTTTCCGTAAAATAAAAGACACATCTTTCATTTTAACCAATAAGTTTATTACTTTGGATATGTCAGCTCTCTCCCACATGGTATAACACTGATTGTTCTCAATTAATATCTCAATTTGATCCCTATCAATGTCAGCCGGTCTACCCGACTGTAGCATCATCCAGCAACAAATCTCTAGCACGAAACTTCACAAACCACTTTTGACACATTTGAGAGCAGTCATAGCACCTTCTCCATACACTGCACCATTGTGTGTGTGTGTGTGTGTGTGTTTCAGTTGCATTTTTACCTTTCTTGAAATAATAAAGCATAATATGCCAAAAATGTTGTTTATTTTCTTCCATCTTCAATATTAAAATGGCTATACAAAAAATTCACCAATTTTGATAATTTTTCTAAATGCACGCTGGTATTAGAACCGTCATGATACAATCTACCAAAATAGTTTCAAATGATGTTAGAGACCACTAAGTGCTACTAGAGCCATCATAAGGAAAAAACCCAATGAGCTTTTTGGCCAACCCAGTATTTACTTGGTCTTTCACAGTAAGTTTCAACTTACATCCTTTTCCTTCAGTCACTTCACCAAACTCTCACCCTTTTATTTCTATAAATCAATTCAGCAGCAACCTATTGTCTTAGCTCAAACTCTCCTGGGAAAACAGAGGGGATTCCAAGTTCCACTCTAAAAGACAGCCTCTCTCTTCAGCCCCTCCCTGCTTCCTGTCCTCGCCCTCTGCAGAAGCCGGGTGACGCTCCCCGCGGGTCCCCATTCACCCTATCTCAACGTATGCATACGCTATTCTATAGAGACAATGACCATCTCCTACGTCTTCTTCACAAATGAGTTGTGAGCATCTTTACCTCCTTAGAGCCTTCTCTTCCTTCCCGCTCTTCCACTCACTGTACTAATGTGGGGGCTTCAGACTGTTTCCTGAAAGGGGCATCGCCCCTAGACCGCACGGTAAGTCCCACAAGGCACGCATCATGCCTGTTTTGCTCAGCACTCTCTAGAAGGGTGGTTGTTTCTTAATAGTTATGTCAATAAATATTTGTTCAACTAACATACAGTAAAAACGACTAGCATGAAGTATTTCAAAAAGGCTAGATAAGTATGATTAACAGTAACCTGAGTTCTACTTCCCAGCTTTAAGCTTTGTCCTCCCTGTCCCTGGGAGTGAATGCAAATATGTGCGTGGTATGAAAATTAAACATGAGCAATGCTTTTCGATTCTAAATAACAATAAACATGAAAGCTCATTGACATACGAGAACTTGCTTCTGAATTAATTCTTTAAATGAGAGAACTAGTTAATTTTATCTTTGAATAATTTGAAGTTTAAAAGGCTGTCGCTTCAAACCACAAACTATGTGAATTTAAGCCTCAGTTTCCTTATCTGTAAAATAGGTACAACTTCCTATGACTAAATGTTTTAATCTATGATACTTTAAAGTCCCTAACATACATCTATATAATAGATATGTACAATTAACTTAAGAAAAAGAACAACTAATTTTAACCAAGAATTTCCATATTTCAAGCTCTTTTTCAATCACTCACAAGCAGGAGAAGCAGTGCACAACTCAGTTTTCTCAGCTAAGCCTTCCTCTTTCTCCTTGCAGAGGGTGCATCTTTGCTAAAAGTTCAACTTCAAGTACAAGGAGACAGGAAAGACTCTGGCCCAAAAATTACAAAAAGAAAAAGAATCATTTCTAAGTAGAAATTCTTGAAATCAGCTAAACATGAAGAAATTTTCTTTAAAAGATCAATCAAATAAATGTGCCCCTATTTATAAGGAAATACCGAGCATACATATATTTTCATTAAGGCAGCCCTGTCTGTCTGTCTGTCTGCTGTCTGTGTCAGGTTGGGGATGAGTTTGCAAGTTCTGGGTTATTAGCTACTAACACTTCTATTGAAACCTATCACTAAGTAAAAAGGTCATCTACATTTTTAAAAATCTTCCTTAATTGGAATCTGTCTACAAGAGCAATAGCCATAAAATGTTCAAAGAGAAATAAACCTCTTTTTCAGCACTATTTAGCTTTCCAGCTGGGAAAAAATGATGGAAAGCGGCATCCTAATGTGGAATCTGACTTTGGTGTAAAGCTATGATAATGCCACCTATTAGCTCAAACTAAAGCAACTGCTGTTCAGACTGATGTTTAGAAAATGTGATTAGAGATTTATTTCTGACATTTATGTTTTTTTGTGCTTCATATTATTAACGAGAAAAATAACAAATGTACAGGTTATTCTCGTGATTGTTAAACTAGTAAAACTCTAGTTCCCAACACAGTGACATGTTAGGTAACGTTAGGCCAACTCTGCACCCGTCCCATTAATCTAGAATTCCAAGTCAATTAAGTCAACTGCCGAGTAAACTAAGTTGTTGATGTGTTTTTAATTCCCAGGACGATGTACTCGTTTTTAATTCATTACTACTAATTTCAATAACTAGTTTAATTCCAGGTTTTACAGTGATTTGATTCACCGAGAGCTATTTACACGCATGGTCTCCAAAACCAGCCGCCGTAATGCCGGCAGCACACCGTCCCCCACCCGCGGGGCGCGAGCCTGGCCCCGCCCCTCACCTTCGATGATGTAGATGCACTCTCGGTCAGGGGGGTACTTGCTGGGGTAGTTGGGAGAAGTGAAGACACCTCCCTCTGCATGTTTTGTCCAAGTTCCACACTGCGCCGACTTCTGTGTTTCTGAGGTGGTTTGCTTTTCTGTAAAAAATTTTTAAAAGAGCCATCATCCAATGTTTGATAGAACTAAAAATAGAGAGGACATTCTTATAATATCCATTAGTAAATTAATTTCTAAATGTTGTCTTAGTCAAAACCAATCATTTATGCACACTATAAAAAGTTCAGATATTCTGGAATATTATGAATAAGGGGGACATAGGGAAATGTAAATAATTAGAGGTCTCCCACCCACAGTTTTCCAAAGAAACATACCTGTTCCCTTCTTGGTTGCCCCAGACAAATGGAGGATGATTAAACTTGCTACAACTGAATCAGAAAAGAAAAATTAGAAAGAGACAGTATTAATATACACCAAAGTGATCAATATCTATAACATCTTAATGATAAAATATCAAAGCAGATTAATTTTATTATTGTTAACGGCTCCAAGTGGACTCAGAACTTGCACAAACTGAGGAGACAGTGTTAATAGACACTGCGATAATCCGTATCTATAACAATGTAACATAATTTAACTATAAAATATCATAGCAGACTAATATATTACTGTCAATGGTCCCAAGTTGACTCAGAACTTGCACAGACTGATTCAAAATGGACAAATCCGGGAAACTTAGGCACCCCTTCAGGAAGTAATGCCAGCTACACACGGAGGGGACCCAACCCCCTCTGGCAAATGCCGGCTTCAACGCTCAGGGGCACTCTCGTTAACAACCTCCTGATGCCGCGGAACCGTAGGGCCTAGGGACCCACGCTGCCTCTGAGCTGCCCCCTGAGCCCGGCCTTGCCGGCTAGGCTCGCCACAGGAAGAGAGCTGGGCCGCAGGCGAGAGGGCGAAGGAGAAGCAAACAGTGAGAAACGACCAGACTCCAGGCCTGGTCCTAACGCGCTGCCACTGCTGTTGTATTGTAGAAAATGATAACTTTGGCACGTTCTGGGGGCGGGGGGCGGGGCGCACAGAAACACACACTGCTGTGGCCTGGAGGCATCGCGCTGGACTGCAGGAGCGCCCCTTAGAAAACCGCGCTGCACCGCCACGCAAGCCCACCCCCGGCATTTCCTAAGCTACAAGATGCATCTCTTCTAACCTGGACTTTGATTTAATACTCCGTGTTTTCCAGAAATAGGTCATTCATTTGATAAAGGCCATTGCTACAAGCATTTCACTGAGTCAGTTTTTCAGTCTCAAAGACTCTGAGCTGCCACTTAATAAAGACCATTGTTAGCTGAAGTTTCCTTTGACTTCTAACAGCCTTGATCCACTCAACATCTTTACAAAACCTAAAACTAGAAATATGTTATAGCAGTGTAGGCTCTATCATTTTGGACTTTTCCTCTTCTACTTTATTTTTATTTTGTTGCTCAATTATCTAAAATCTCAGGGCCCCATTACATGTATACTCATGTTTCTATTTAAAATGAATTTGGGAAAGTGAGGATATAATTCACAATGATTTCCTAAGCAAAGCTCACTACAGGAGTTTATACATGTATACTTAAAGATTATTCCAAGAAAAAAAAAGTATTTGGGCCTTGATTTTAGTGTTTGAGAATTGCATCTATTATATGACTTTGTACTCCAGCCTGGTCATGTTTTAAGAACAAAACATTAGTTATTGTTACTGACTGTATGTTTAAATAGAACAAAACCTTGTTTTAACTTGCTGTGATTCTCTACACACACAAGCACACGGGTGTACAATCATCCGTACCAGGAGGTATGTTTGGCATTTTGTGTACTCTGGGTTTTTCCCCCCCTGTTTTGATGGAATCACATTGTGGAACACGTACTATGGTTACTATGGTTAACATATCAGCAGAGCCGGTCTTTCAGCTACGTGGCTTGGGATTAACTCTCTAATCCTTGCTCTGTAATGTGAAATTTCCACCACACATTTCTTATATTGCCTTTTACTTGATGACTTTGGATGCCATTTCCCTCCAGTTCCTCCCCCATCCCTGCACGCATACCACACACTCCCTGAAGCCACAAGAGTGGTCTGTTGTGCCCGAGAGTTGAGGGGGCCCCCCACCTTCTCCTCCAGCGCTGCGTTCAGGTGCACCCTGAACTACGTCCTGGGGACCCGTGGGCCCGCCGAGCTCCTGAAGCCTCCGAGGGAGGACTGTTCCCTACCATCCCGCACACGGTGGGCGCCGTGGGCCCCCCTTTCCACCTGTGCCCTCCCTCCGGCCCACTCCCCAGCTGCTGCCACACGTGCGCATCCTGGAACTCCTCGCTCCCCTCTCCTCCGCCCGGGATTATCCTGCGCACAGAAAGGTTGCTTCCCCGGCGGATGCTGAGACCCAGGGACGGCGGGCTGCGCCGCCCCCCACCCCCCACACCCCGCGCTATTCTGCTGCAATACAGAAAGTTACACCTGCCCCAGACTCGCCGGGACTGCGGGGTCGCGGGCGCGCAGCGGCCACCGGGGAGGAGCCGGCGTGGCGGGAGCGGTACTCACTGTGAAACACACTGCGTCCATAGATCATGTCTGTGCGTTACACCAGAGGCTCCGAGCTCCACTAATTCCATTTAGAGACGGGAAGACGTCCGGTGGAGGGGAGAGGACGGAGTCGAGAGATGTGAAATGTGCAGACCCAGAGCAAAATGCAGGGGGAGCGAGAGAGGGGCGGGACGAGACCCGAGCCCACACCGCAGAAGATCCGACTCCGCGCGCCCTCCGCCCCGGCTCGCTCTCGCCGTCACCGCTGGGAAGCCAGCATCCCCACCATGATGCTGGCATCACACCCGGGCGCCACTCGCCACCCTCCGCGCCGCCGGCGGCAGCGCCCCCCTCCTTTGCATCATCGCTGCCGCCGCAGCTGTCAGGAGGGCGCGGGCAGTGGGCGCGGGCGGAGAGCCCCGGGGCGCCCAGAGCCGGGGACCGGGGACCTGGGACCGACGGCAGCGACGGTGGCGGCGGCGGCGGCGGCGGCGGCGCGGCGCCGGAGGCAGCGGGGGCGCTCAGTCCCCGGTCTCATCCACCAGGAGCAGCAGGTCGGGGCAGCCTCTCCCGGAGGATGTCCAGCAGCAGCCCTCCTCGGTCCAGCCCTTGGGGATCTTCCGCTGAGGCATTGGAGACAGGAGGAAAGGGTCTGTCATCGGCTGGCCGGGCTCCGCGCCACCTCTGCGATCGTGCGCGCAGAGGAGAGGGTGGTGGGCGTCTGGGAGGCGGGCGGAGGGTGGCGATGGGGCGCGGGGGTGGCGTGGAAGGCGGGGAAGGGAGGGCGGGGAAGGCGCAGGAAGATGGCAGAGTTACCAAGTGGGCGCCTGAGTCATAGCCCAGGGCTGCGCGACCCTCCGGGAAGCCCGGGGCCGGAGTGGAAAGGAGCGGCTGCGCGCGGCCGGCGCCCCCGGGGCTGGTGCATGGCGGAATGGGGCGCGGCTGCAAGGACAACGCACCCGCTCGGATCCTGGGGGGAGGAAGGGGGAGGAGTGAGGACCAGGCTGGGATCTGTCACCGGGCGACCGGGCCGAGGGGGCCAGAAGGGAGTCTGGACTGGATCCTAGCGCCGGATAAAGGACGTGAAAGGGGGAGGGGCCGTCATGGGAAATTCCCCTGTGGGGGTTAATTTTTCACTTTTGAAGGATTAGAAGTTGCAGTCGGCCTCTCTCCCACCCCTTACATTCCGTCTGTCCAGAGGAAGCGGGTTCCCTGTCTCCTCGGGGAGGGCGGCGTTGCAGTGAACTCTGGTCTCGGGCAGGGAAACCAAGCAGGGGCGCGCCCGCGGGCCGCGATGGCTGGAAAAGTTTCGCAGTTCGTCTCCCGGTCGGATGCCGAGGTCGCCCCCACCAAACTGCTCCAGTAAAGACTCGGGCCTCTCGCAATTCACCTCCACCCTCCGTGGAACTTCACGCCCCCAAGGCACACGCAGACGCCGCCTACCCATCCCAACCGGGAGAGGCTCGCTCAGGGAGTAAACTCGGAGCCGGGGGGAGGGGGGGAGTTGCCGGGGAAACAGCCCTGGAAAAGCTCCAGGTCGTAAGTGCGAATAAATGAGCAAGAAGGAACAGCGACCGGGCTGCGCAGAGGGCCTGGGAGCCAGGGCTTGCGGGCAGCGTCCCTCCAAGCCCCGCAGACGGGCTCCCCGCACCCTGCTCTGTCCCGCCTCCCCCGCAGCTGCGGGCTGGGCCCCGCAGACTCGCCGCCAGCCGGCCCCTGGCCCGCGCTCAGGCCCTCGAACCCGGACCTCAGGGCGCTCAGGTGGAGACCCTGCGCCCCCGACTCTGCAGCCCGGTTGGGGGCGCAGGATGGAGATGGTGACGGTGAGAGGACAGGGGAAGGAAGAACTAAGGTGGGAAGGGGAGAGACACTGTGCTGCTAAGACTGGGGTCACCTCAAAAGCCACAGGAGAGAGGAAAGGGCCGCTAGAGGGGACCGGAGGGCGCTGAAAGCCAGGCCCGCACCTCCGTCTGGCACCTGCTGCTGCGGAGCTGGGAGCCTTCATTTCCCCCAGCAACGCGGTGGAGAGAGGTCGCCCGTCTCCTGCCAATCATTGGAAGTGAGGGGTAAAGAGGTGACCCCAAGTCCGGAGGGATCCACAAGCCCCAGGCGCAGCCTCCCACACTCCTACCAAGATTTCGGTTCCTTGATTCCAAGCAGCTGCAAGTCCTCTACGTGCAGCAAAGTCACCCAGTGGAGAGGGGCGTGTTCGTGAGTGTGTGTGCGTGTGTGTGCGTGTTCGTCCGTTTGATGGAAGATCTGTGTGTCGAGAGGAGGGAGAGGAGAACGAGGGCGACAAAACGGCAAAGGGACAGAGGCTGGGCTCTCGAAGAGCCAACTCCACCGGGACTGGGGCCAGCGCAAGGAGCTACAGGCTGGACAGCCGCGCTGGGGCGCGATGCGTGGACCGCCGCGGGGAGGAGCGTCTCGGGCACCGCGCGGGGCTGCCCACATACGCACTTGCGGGCGGGGAAACTGGCAGAACGTCCCGCAGAGTCGTGCGATCCCCCTGCGCTTCTCCCGCCGGCTCGGGGGCTGGGGGGAGGCAGGCGGGAGGAGAGTTGAGGAGATGCCCCAACAGCACAGAAGCAACAGCACCAAAGAGGTGGGACCCCTGGGGAGATGAGCCAATAGGTGACCCGGGTCCCCGAGAAGTGGCCAACGCCGTCGGATAAGAGTGGAATGCTGAAGTCTTGAGGATTGCTTGGCGATTATTTTTACGTCCTGAAATACAGCTTTCGGAGAAGGGTAAAGCTTTCAATGAAAAGTTCAGTCTTTCAGGGGCGACGTTAAAAATTACCTTAAGGAAAATATTGCATTTCTCAAGTGCAGTTTGAAGATAGGATGGACATTTGGCCGCTGCTAAACCCATCCACTCAAGTGTGTCTAGCCTGTCCCCCCCTTTTTGCCCAGGTCCCTGTCCCAAGGGCACAGGCTTTGTTACCTGCCCGAGTGGCAGGCTGGAGGAGGTTAGGCTAGGCCAGCGGTCCTGGAATAGGGAGCGGGGAACGGGGGAGCCAGGAACCGCGGAAAGGAAATCCAAGAGAAAAGAAAGAAGGGACAGGAGTCCCCATCGCTGGCTCATGTCCTCATTCCCCCCACAGCCTAGAGGCCAGGACATCTGCGGCTGACACCGAAGTCTCACACACACAGTGTCCTCCATCTTTGGAGCCTGGGTTCCTGCAGGCCGTGCCCAGGGCTGTGGGGTTGCACATTTGCTCAAAGCTCAGGACTGAGACTAGGAGTGTACAGCCCTGGACCTGGTCCGCAGCAGAGACACCCAAGCTCTGTGTCTACTCACCAAGAGACGGGGACAGGCAGGTGCTGAGGCTTCCCTACCAGCGATGGCTGCAACCCGTTCCTCGAAAATTCTGTTCGTTTCCCCACACAGACAAGCACACACACTTTGAAACATCCACCGCATCCTGCTAGCTTGGCAAACTGCTTCCTTTGCACTTTGGAGTTCGAACTGCCACTTGCTGAGTAATGCTAGCTCCCTAAGCGGGTGGGGGGCACATATATTTTTTCCTTTCTGAGAAAAATCAACATATGGGAAAAGTTCAGCTTCTCCAAGGGAAGGTTGGGCACACATATGGTCAAAATTCGAGACGTGATAATTTCGAAAGGGGGAGCATAGAAACTGAGAGTGTAAATGAGTTCAAAGCGCTGTCTACAAGAAAGTCCTTTGCCGCAGCTCCCCAAGGCCAGCTCCGAAACGGGCTACTGCAGAAGCCCAGGCAGAACGAACACTCCTGGAACCCAGTCAAAGGGGCATCGGTTTCCTTTAAGCCTGTACCTTGAGACAGCGAAGGGTAAGGAGGAGTTACAAAATCTTAAAAAGCATCGGTGGAAACCGTTCTTCTAATGCAAAGGCAAGTCGTTTTTGTCTATACTCTCATGTCCCTGGAGACAATAATACAGTTCCAGAGGCACAAGGATCTGTCATTAGCTCGTCTGCAGAATTGGCCTCTTCTTCCAGGTGGTTTTTCCATAGCGGTAAGAGGCAAGGTTACCAAAAAATAACTAAAATAAAACAGCGCTGCTGACACATTCTCTAGTACATTAGTTTCCTGAAAGTGTCTAAATATGTTTTAATTTACTTACCTAGTTGTGAGATATATAAAGTCCTGTTTTGTATTTCCTGTTTTGTATGAACTCAACTATATACAAGTCATAACACTTGTTTATCAAAAATGTGTACGAATAAATCATTTGCTGGCAAATACTGGGACGGTTTTTAAAAGGATCGACAATTCTGTAACATGCCACCAGTTGGAAGCGACAGTTGTGTGGCCATTTATTTCCCATCGAAGATCTGTGTGTGTTTTACAACAGAGTGGAATGTCTTCATAAGGGAAAAGAGTTAAGCCCTTGGAAGTCTCATGTTTAAGCCAGACCCCACAGTTAATGGACATGACCGGAGAAATAAAACATGGCTTTCTGAGAAGTACAGAGTCGCGACTGTTTTGTTAGATGTCGCAAGAACATCGGCCTCTCGTGGGCCCGCACTGTTACGGCGCCACTCTCTTCAAGCTGCTTCACCGGGACGTACGGGCCCAGAGTCTCCGTCTTTGTTCCTTCATCGTAAATGACATTTGTGCTCCAGGAACAATGTAGTCTCACCTTTGTTGGGAGAAATGTGAGGGCCACAGAGATGATGCCATGACCCAGTGATCTACGCTAACATTTTAGAAAGACTTTATTTTCCTTCTGATTAATATTCGACAGTGGCTTATAAAAAAATCAAGATTTTTTAAATAACCACAGCCTAAATAATAGCTAGCGAATTGGCATAAAGGAACATTTATAAAGATAAATCCTGAGATAGAAAGGGTATTGCTGTGAAGAAATACTTTACTTAAACAAAACCTTACTTAAAATTGCTAAATCAGATATGTGAATGTAATTATGGGTTAGATTTAAATTTTTATCCTTAATTACATAAATTAATACCATTACCTAAATTTACTTGCTTTCTCTTTTTAGGGAACATTTTAATATTATTATCATTCCTTGGGAGTTATGTGGATGATTTGGAAAGTAACG